ATAATAATAATGATAACGGTACAAGAGAATACAAAATGAGTGACGTGATGCAATTGCTCACTACCTAGTGATTGATTGCCCATCCCATCCCAAGCAGCAATCATGGATCCCTGTCCCCTCAACCATTCTCCATTTATATACAGAACTTGATGTCTCTGGTATGGAATATTCCTTCGGCCAGCTTGTCCTGTCTGTGCTCCCTCTCAGCTTCGATGGGAAGCTGAAAATGTACTTGAGTTAATATAAGCATTATTTAGCAACAACTAAAGCATCATATGTTATCAACATTATTCTTGTCGTGATGCAATTGCTCACTACCTAGTGATTGATTGCCCATCCCATCCCAAGCAGCAATCATGGATCCCTGTCCCCTCAACCATTCTCCATTTATATACAGAACTTGATGTCTATGGTATGGAATATTCCTTCGGCCAGCTTGTCCTGTCTGTGCTCCCTCTCAGCTTCGATGGGAAGCTGAAAATGTACTTGAGTTAATATAAGCATTATTTAGCAACAACTAAAGCATCATATGTTATCAACATTATTCTTGTACTAAATCTAAACTAGCAGCTACTAGAAAGAAAATCAACTCTATCCCAGCTGAAACTAGGACAGCCGGGAAGGGAATCTCCCATAGACATCTCATCAAGAGGGTGATCTTATAAAAAGAAAATAAGGCTACTTTAAGAAGTGCACTCTTGCCCCAGTGGCTGGAGAGAGCTCAGGGCCGAGAGGACGAGCAGGGTGCCAGTGTGGAATGGGGACAGGTCTCTTGGGTCTGACATCAGCCACTGAAAACTGCTAATTGAAAATCTGTTTTGACAACTCTGTAACCAGAGGTGAATACTAGACTTGCAGATTTGGGTACATGAGCAAAGCTGTTATTCTGTAAGGGTTAATGGGTGCAAAACTCTTCTTAAATAGTGCAGGTTCTTAGTGTAACGGTTGTCTTATTTAGTGGCAGACGTTGCTTGAGGGATTCTGTATTCAGAATTTTTTTTGTTTGGAACAAGATCAAAACAAAAGTCCAGGAGATTCTTGTGCAAAGCCTCTGATTATATGTGTCTGCTCAAGTACATTTTTGCATGACAGTGTTAGCAGAGAATTTTCGGATGAAACAGAAGATATAGAGCCTTCATTGCCGACATTTACAGAAGTGTGCTGAATTTAACCACCCCTTGCAAAAGATAGGTAGAAGTCTCAAAGTCGTGGCTGCCACTGAAAATATACCTGGCTGCCTGGAATTTGAGATCCTGCACTTCAGAGCAATCCTGATCTCAGTTCTGTGCTGAGGACTAATTATGCATTTATTATATTCATGTTTATGCTTATTATTTATATATTATATAATTATATGTTAAATATATAAAGCTAATATATCATATAGTATTTTATATATTATTGTATTATTATGCCTTTGATTTTAATTCTGGTACAGTCCTGTCATAATGTGAGATTGATGGATATGAAGTGGTCTGTGAGTTTAGATGTTGTTAGAGTTTTAGAATTGGCACCATGTGCAGGAAGTCAGATTTTAATTATTTTTTTTTTTAAGAAATGTGGTGTCCACTTTGCATTTATTTCTACCATTTCTATTTGGTAGGATTTTTTTGCAAATTTACATTTTTGTGCTGAAAGAAGTAGTGTCCTTTAAAAAAAAATTCTTCTCAGAATTGACATTTTTGCCTGGCTTAGACCTGTAAACATATGGGAAAAAAAACCTAAACAGCCACTTCTTATTTTTCAGTAATAGCAAGTGTGAGGCTTGGAGTGCCAACATATTTTCTAATGCAACTTTTTACAAGTGCTTTCTACTTAGCTGTGACAGCATTTTCTTCTTCTTTTTATCATGGGCTAGTAAAAACACCCTCAACAAAACCTCCCTAAAAATTCCACTATAACTTCTGTAAGATAAATATTGAATGTGTAATATTAAGTATTAATGACACTGTAGTCTTCTCTTCTTTTCCTATTGGAACCTAGAGTGGTTATTAGGATAAATAATTCTGGTAATGTATTAGTGCTTTAGGTTCCACAGGAATGGGTGACGTCCAAACTTGTAAGAATAGTGGTGACTCCTCTCCACAAAATTTATATCCAGGTTTTTCAACTTCAGTAGCTTTAACAATGAAGATATTAGTCTGATATTAAGTGGCTTTACCCTGAAGGATTGCTCAGAAGCCTGAACATAGTTCCTGCCTTCTGGAGTGTCTGCAAGCACGCCAAATATTAAAGGGCATAAATATACTACATTTTGATGGAAGATGGAGGTAAATTCTCAATTTCATAACTGCTGCACAACAGGTTATACGATTGAGCCAAGCTCATGCTGGAAGCCCTTTGTAAAGTTCTGGGATTTTGGCAAAGTTCAGTTTAAATCTTCTAAATCATACTTCAGTGTCTGGCCTTTTCCTATGTCAAATTTTCATAGCTTAAATGCTAGGCTGTGACCTTTTTTGGTGCTGTAGAAGTATGAAACATCAGTTTTAGACCTAGAAAATAAAGATAAATAAAGACTACTGGCTTCCATCTTTTATATCTGGGCATTTTCAGATTCAGTTTCTGAAGTGGATCTTTAATAATGCTTTAAGAATAAACTACATTATAGAAGTTTTCAGAAATTTAATTGTTAAACTTCAAAGTACTTAAATATGCTGTAGATTCTTTTGTTTCATTGCATATCATATAGCCAGATAGTGCTCTGAGGGTTTTAAAAAAATAATTGTGAATTTGCATCCAATTATCATTAGATAGTTATGAATTTATAGTGATTATTTAAACTGTAAAATTTCATCTCATATTTAAGCATCTGAAGCAGATTAATTAACAAAAATGTTGGAAGGCTTGATCAACAACAAAAGTTTGAGTTAACTGTAGTTAATTATAGCTAGCGTATTTTTAATTAGGGGGTTATGAAAGCATTATAACTGTTACTTTTCACTTGAGTCTGTGATAACTCCTAAAAGTGCGATTATTTTACATTTCTCTTAAGACATTCTAAATTAATTGAAAATGTGTTAAAGCCATTCATGTCACTTTATTATGCATTTATTAAAACAAATGTCAAATGCTAATATGTTAAGAATGATCTACTTTTTTGACAATAATTATGCTGGTGACCATAGAGAATCAGCCAGACATCATGTGGACATGATGCTTCCTACAGAGAATGATCTACTTTTTTGACAATAATTATGGTGGTGACCATAGAGAATCAGCCAGACTTCTGCTTCCTACAATTGTTTTTATAAAGTTATCAGAATAATAACAGGCATGATTTTTATCATGATTGACTATTTTATATATATTTTTAACTTCTCCATATGCTCTGTTTTTAAACGGTCAGGAACTAGAGATCCCTGGCAGCCATCTTTCTAGCAATTTCTAGCTCTCTCTGTTGATGGGATAAGTCAGAATTGTGCAAGTTTTAAAGGAGCACAGAGTGAGTTGTGAGATTTCATGAGCACGCACCTATTTTCAAGGTACTATTTCATCTTTAGGTCCCAAAAGATTCGTAGAGCAGAATTTTTTGGCTTTCTGCTTGCCCTACTAAGATAGGTGATGTGATCCCACTTCTTCCTACACGTGGGAATTTTCTCTTCTGAAAATGAGAATTAGATTTAGGAAGGGAGAATGACTTGCTACGTTTTTGAGTAAATGAGGTGATTTCAGCAGTCCTGACTGCTGTCTTTATTGTGACTTTAACCAGCAGAAATCCCCTGGTGCAGGAAGGATACCAAGGCTGGGCTGCAGGCGGAAGTTGCAATTTTCCACTGAAGTATCATTGCAAAATGAATGGTAGCTGTGGGACTGCAAAACAAACCCACATCCTCCTTGTAGCTCAACCTCAGCGATCGTCTGCATTTCTTTGTTAACCACTAGTACTGGAGCAGAAAGAAAGAAAAAGAAATGCAGATGGCAAGAAAAATACTAGGTGATAGATAGAATAGGTGCTGGGTATCAAAAATAGATATTTTATGCCCTATCTACCTACCTAAGCTGTACATAACCAAAGGCAGCATACTGGGGCTTTCAGACTACTTAATATCCTTCATTGGCTACATGAATTTGTTCCTTAATGGAGTTTGATAAAATAGACAGGATCTTTTGCATAGAGGATGTGACAATGTGTAGAAGGCATAAACAGAGTTCCAAACAGGGAGAGATTCCTGGAGGTTTAGAGCAGCTCAAAAGCAAAAGAATCAAAAGGATCAAATTCATATCAAATGAAACATTTTTCCTCTTTTAGAAAAATCTTATTGCTGTATCTTGTATTTAGAATTATTTTCTATAGTGAAGTTTCTTTCTGCCCTATGTGGTTTAAAATATTTTTTTCTTCAATACTATGCCACAGCTCCTTCCTTCACCTAAATATATACAATAAATTCTCTGATAGCCATGAACAAGATCAGTGTGTGCATTTGGAGGCACCTGAAGACTGCACTAGAATCCCATCATATTTTTTTTGAAAAGTCATATTGTTTGAAAAATAATGCCATGACTAAATTCTGATTTACATGCTTACTTGCCTAAAACTGTTTATCTGATGCCTACTTTTCTGTTTATCTGTGTTTCATTGAAAAGTGGTAATGATTATTGACATTACTTCTTCATGAGTGCATGGGGACAGTACCACGGATACATTCAGAAAAGCAAAGAAAATTAATTATTAATTGAAAATGTACAGAGGAAGATTTACTCAGGCTTTTTTCCAAAACGCCTACACAACTAATAAATGAGACTTTTCAATAAAAATTTAAATTAAATAAACACAAAGAAAATTGAAGGGAATCATATTGAAGACAGCTGTGTTATGAAACATTAATTTGCTCTGAATGCCAGGAACATTTGTTATAAAGCAGCTGCCTATTTATTAAATATTATCACAGTATGTTATCTACCATATTTCTACTTCTCCTGTTTTGAATTGGTATAAAACATATTTAAAAGAGGATTTTAATGTTTTTTTACAAATTACAAATAAGATGATGAATGCATGAGTAAATATATTCAAGTCCCCTGAAAGGATTTGATTTTTGAGGCCATCCTTCTAAAGAAAAATCAAGGGCAAAGCAGAAAACCAAAACATTCTGCTCAAAAATGTGAAAACACATCGCCAAATAAAGCAAGCACTGGAAAAATTATCAACGGCAAACTTCTTTACTGAGAAGGTAGCTCAAATGCCTTAGTATATTCTGTCCTGTTTCTTGAATATTTCTCCACCATTCTTAGAAAGTGTCATGTACATATTGTACTTAAAAACAAGCCAGCAAAGGCAATTCTTAGATCAGGTTTGTACAATCACTTTAATAAAATATTGTCTGTACTGAGTTGCAATGGCAGACATTTACTAATTCATAATCCCTTAAGTCTCTCACAAAAATGGGAGCCATCTCTTCGGATTTCCATTCTGTTGCTTCTTGACTAGTTCCTTGTACGCTTCTGACCTTAGAAACCTGGGGAAAGAGTCCTTTGCCATGAGGCTGTAGATTGACCTCTGAGCATCATCAAAGCAGCTGAGGGTGGGCTCAGAGATGTTCTGAGAGATGTGGGTTTTGGTATGGAAGTCGATGTTAATCTGTAGGAAGAAAGGAGGCATAAAACCAATGTCAGTTTGATTGGAAAACTGAGGTCTGTTCGTGTACAGGACACAGTCTGCATTTGAATTTCCTCCCAGCTACCCTGGCTGATACAAATAAGAAGAAGGTGATCCCTTCATTTTCTAGCATACTGAATTATTGATTTTTTTGTTGCTTTTGAAAAGATGGCATGACTGAAAATAGAAAGGAAAAACTTGGTAATGATTATTTAATCTTTTTGCCAAACCAAATCCTATGAAGTACCAATCACCAAAGAATAAATTAGAGATGAAAGTACTCAGCATAATTTTATGTTTTGCCGCTATGCATTTTGTAAGGATTTATTTTGTTTTTAATAACAATAAAATGGATTTCAGTCATATGTAAGACATCTGGGGATTCAAAGCATGCTCACTATCAAGGGCAAAAACATCAGTGTAAAAGCTTGTTAGGGAGTAGAATGTGAATAATAATTAGCAATTTTTTTCCTTCACAGTAAGAATTTTTTAAATAATGATAAAATTGAATGTTGTGATGGAAATTTTTGCAAGTTTGCATTTTAATTTTCATCACATCAAAAATACCTGTACAAAAGAACAAATACAATCATTAACATTCCAAAATACTGGTACGTAAAATACAGAGGAAATGGTGCTCATTGCCTTATTAAAATGGTTAGACAAAAGAAATGATACTGACTATATATTTCCCAAAATCTTAAGGTAGGTATTTCAGATGAGATAAACCAGTGCCCTGTTTGAAGAATGTATTTGAAGTATAAACCATAAGAGATCTTTCTTTTCTTCACTCAGTTCCACACAGTGTTTTCTACCTGGTAAATAACTGACATGAAAACGGAAGTACAGCCATGTTGAATTTTATTTTCTGTCATTCCTGGAAGTTTGGATCCAAACTTTCCACTTTATTCCCATCCTCTGTACCCAAAGTACACAAAAAAACCTATTTACCTCCTTGGGAGCATCAGCTTGTATAAAGTCAGAATAAATCTTTTGGGCTTTTGAGGCCATCTTAGTGGAGGACTTGGTTTTCTTGAAGTCCTCACAGGCCAGCCAGAACTCCACGTTCTCCTCACTGAATTCTGACTTCAAAAATGTCCTAAAAGCTTCCAAGCCATCTGGGGGAAAAAGGCAGGAGATGATGGGTAGAGGAAAACTGAAAGATCGATGTAGATTATATGTATGTCTATACATACGTGTGTGTGTATATATATATATGCAGTATATATAGTGTAACTTATATGCCTGATACTGTTTTCCTGTCAGCCAGCAGTTAGTCTTAAGAGGCAGTTATGAGAGAAATAAAGAGGAGATGAAACTACAGCCATGATAAGGTGACAAAAGGAATTCTTTCAGAGAGTTAATAATTGAGGAATGCTTCCAACACCTGCCTGCCATGGTTTGGTCTCTCTAGCACTGACATACTAGTCAAAAGTGGATGCTGGAGATTTTGCTCTTCAAGAGGATTTGTGGTGACTAGGAAATTAGGGATTTGAGGCTGACCCCTGGTCTAAGAAGCAAGCAGAAATTTAAGTCATATTGTGGTAGTGTGCTCCTCTCAGAACTGAGGTTAGCCGGCCTAAATAGCGCTTCCATCTCCTTTCGAGTAATGATTAAGACTTGGATGAAGAGATGGACTCTTCATTACTCCCTTGTTCAGCACTTTTTGTTTCATTTTTTCTCTTAAAAGTTAAAAAGAAAGGTTTGTTTGGAAGAAATTGTTTTAAAATTAATCCAAGTCACAAGCTCTTAGAAAAGAAAGCCAACAGCACCCAAATTTAGTTGTGTTAGTCAATGATATGTTAATGATATAGTTAATGATATTGAGAATCAGGGAGGCACCCCAAGAACCAGTCCACAAAGTTACTGCAGGAAAATGGGGCCAGGGCAAGGAAATTTTTAAGCTACACATGATTTGGGGTTTCAGGTCAGTAGACATGGGATTCCATGATCATGGGACTTTAGATATATTAGAAATAATAATTTTTTGTTTGACTGAAAGTCAATGTACAACACATATTTCTTTGTAACGGGAATACCTAAGAAACAATTTGTGGATTATTTTTTTTTTTTGTTTAAAAAAATAGGGAAAACAGAACCAGTGTGCAGACAGTTTAATAAGGATTATCTTCATAAAACAAAACACTTTCAGAGCACATTTGCCTTCTTAAATGCCCATTTTGTGCTGGCCAGAAAGTATATGGTGTTTGTAGCTTGGAGAAACAGTGGCACTGCTGTGGTTCAAAGCATGAGGAGAGTTCAACTGGAGAGCAGTGTGAAAACCTGACAGCAACATTTGTGAACTGGGTTGGCACACATTTTTTTAAAAAGATAATTTTCACTTCTTACCTTTATTGGCCAGTAGAGTATCCACAGACTCAGACCAGGCCATTGTTTCCCCAGTGTTTGACCTGTGGAAACAACATCTATCTTGAAAATAGCATGGTGATCTTTTGCCTGTGTCATCTATGGTAGCTAATCTATTATTTGGCTATCTCCTTGAGGGAGCAGGGCGAGTAATTCATGTCACCCTATGCACTGGAAGAATATGATTTCTTGAAAATGAAATATTTTGTGGGAATGTTAGTGGCACCTGTGGAGATATCAGCATGTGTCTACCTGCTTTCCTGCATGCCAGCTTTTCAATTTGATTTTTCTCAGGGTTTTGGCAGTCAGTTTGCAGCCTCAGGCATCTCCAAATGAACATTAGTCTCATATCTTGGACTCAGTGATAAGCAGGAATAAATCTGTTAGCTCATCTAGCTCATATTTGGTTTAGAATAAGGAGCACACTTCTTCAATAAACCTCGGTTTAGTGGTTTGGAACTAAAATTTGAAAATTCGAAATAGTTTTTTTTTTTAAGTAAAATTTTGAAAAAAAAAAAGCAAATCCTATAAATGTCCTTGGGAAAAAAAGGTAGAAATTTCAAGTGTTAACTGGTCCTCTTGTAACCTCTAAAGACAGGTACTAAAAGATGAAGAATTTTGTTAAACTGTTACCCTATTATCTACTCAGGAGGTTTTATCTCAACTTACTTTAAATTTTAGTAAAATTAATGCATACAAATTTTTTTAAACATAAAAGTTGAAAGGGAATGAAGAATGTTTAACTACAATTTTGCACTTGTGAAATATCTTGAGATAAAACAAGTAGTTCAAAGTGTAAGGCCAGAGCAGAGTAAGCAGTTGGTTTTTATTTTTTTTTCCCATTTTCAATACAGATTTTCTTATGAGGAGACAAGGAGACACATCAACTCTAGAAAACCTGCAAGAATACCTCAAGAGGTAGGTAATAATTAAGTAGATTGGTATCTCATGTTGCTTTTGTTGAAACTGTTACTTTTTATACAAATAGTAGAGATGTATTAACCAGACAAATGAAACCAACTTTCTAATCCTCCAGCTGTGTATCTTGTCTAGGTTATGGTAGGCAGGAGGATTTGAAACTGAATTTACATTCTAGGTGAATATAGTAGTCACTCAACATCTTGGCAGTTCTGGAATGGTTTTTGTGCATCCTCTCTCCTTTGGTGGTAAGAAAGGGGTAATGGGAAAATCTGGAAATGTTCTGTTTCAGTGCAAAATCAAAATGAATTCCAGGATTTTTGACAGAAACAGAAATCTTATTTTCTGACTAGACCCTGTTTCCATTCAAAAAACTTCGCAACTTAATTTTCATGGAGGTTAATCGTCTTGTACTGAAAGATTTTTCTCAGTTGGTCTTTCTGGTTTCAGACGTGCAAACTCACGGGGGATAATTATTTTCTACCTCATGTTTAGGTCTTACATTCACATCCCTTAGGGAAGGCAGGAGTTCATGCACACTAAAAGCAGAGCAGGCCACCCTTGGCTCAGCAAAGAATCACAAGCCACAAACAGCGTCCACAATACTGAGGGGTGGGAAATTGGGGTGAGTGGTAACAGGGCAGAAAAGTTTCTGCTAAAACAGAGCACCTGCCTGCACATGCTGTGCTGCTCTTTCCTCTAGGCTACTGTTATAAGAGCATGTATTCTCAAGGCTGATAACATGCCCAAAGAGAACATTTTAAAGTAACTTTTGAAATGAAGTTCACTATGCTTTTGTCTGTCTGACCAAGCTGTGTCTGAAATCACCTATGGAAAGACCTTTATGCTGACTGTTGGCTTTCTGCCACTGTATATACTGACTTAGAAACAGGTATTTTAGGAGATAAAAGGCTCTGGAGTCAGATAAATGGACCAAACACTTTTTTTTAATTCTGTATAAAATATAAAATGTTTTCTTAGTTTACAAAAAAACCCTACCCTAGAATTCTGTAAAAAGTATTTGATATTCCTGCAGGAACTCTGAGAGCTTGACTGTTGAAACCCTTCTCTGTAGCATACAGGTTAGTTTGAAACCTGTATCACAGAGACATTTCTCAGCATCATCAGTAATGGTATTTTCTAATAGTAAATTTATAAAGAGATTAAATGATAGTGTCACTATATCATGTAGCTGTAGTTATAATTATTACAATAGATTGTGGCATTGACACCTTTAAAAAGAAGCTATTTTTGTAGCAGTCAGTTTACTTGTATACAGGCTGCACAGAATTATATTTAAACAAAAAGAATAAAAATGTGCATATTTATACATATATATGCACACATACATGAGGGAAACTGCAGTGCAAATATAGTCAGTCTGTATTGAAAACACAAATGAAAACTAAATGTTTTGTACATAACCATTACGTAGAACTTTGTGAGACATTATGTGCTGATGGAATGAATCAGCAGAGAATTTGTTTTAGTAACTGTAATAAACTTTTATCAAATATATAACAAATTTCAGCTTGTTTAGTAAATATTTGCTACTTTTCTTGTCAAACAAAAAAGCTAAATGAAAGACCAGGTTAAAACAGACAGCATGAATCTAATTCTGCTTCTCTTCCTTATGGTTAATATTATTTGGTTTTATATTTACTTATCACTCAGAAAATTATCTCAACGGCCTCATGGGATTTACTTGAATGGGAATGGCAAGCGTAATTGACAGCAAGGAATTAAAATAATCATATCCATGTGAAAGAGGAAAATAAAAGCTGTTCAGATTATTCAAAAGTTGATCATCCCACCCCATAAATCTCTTACAATTAAAATAGCCATAAACAACAACTCACTTCACTGGCATTTTTTGTTCCACTCTCTGATTGTCACAGGTAGGGCAGAATTTCTTTTTCTGATTGATCTTCAAGCTGAAGGTAATGTGACAGCAGGAACAATACAATTAGCATGTGAATAACCAAACAGTACAATGCAAATTGACAAACTGTTTTAATGCTTCCTTTAAAATTATTTCTTTTAGAAACATGGCTTATTTTTTAACAGTGGCCATTCTAACTTAATCTACCAAAAATAATTTTAATTAAAAACAGTTTATATGCAAATATCTGTGAAAATATATTTATGTTCTGAACTACATCTTCACAGAGAAATCATCTCGTGATTTTTCTCATTGACCATTGGCTTACTGACTGTGGAAAAGAAAAAAGGAAAATGGATTTAGTGCACATAACTAGAAAATTCTTCACTGTAATCATTTTCTCTCACACTGTATCTGCAAAGTTTATCCATCACCTTATACATCTTGAAGGTCTAAGGCCCTTGAGCCATTGTCTCTTGTTTACTCACACAAGACTTATCACAATGAGACCAAGTTGTGATGGCCATTTGCACATTGATGCAGTTACAAATAATGGGATCATGCAGCATTCGATACTTCCAGTGCACTGATTTTTTTTCTACTCTTATCAATATTTCATTCTATATAGTATCTTCTAGGAGCATCACTCCACCCCCAAAACTTTTTCATATAGTTTTGTCTTTTGCTTGTGATAATTATTGCTTCCTCCCCAGCTCTTTTCTATGTTCTTTGCTGTCCTTTGCTCTCCTGAACAAACAGGCTTATTGATTAGCTGCTTCCCTCCCTCCAAATCTTATCCTGATGCATAATCTTTTGTTCACACAACCCCCCCTATCCAGCTTCCTGGGTCTAAGTGTCTCCACTTGATATAAACAAACTTCCAGTGGTTCAGGAACTAGGATCCAGCTGTCCCAACCTGCAGAATAAGGGATTTTTGTCTTCTCAGCTGAAATATTTTACACCAAGTAGAGCAGCCTCAAGAGTGTAGGTCCCATTAGGTCCCATTTCTATAGTATAGTCACACACAAAGCTGCCTTCTGCCTGACTGAGGACACGATCTTGCTTCTTTTAGCTATGTCTAAGAAAACAAAGCAAAACCCAAGCATCACGTGCCGCATTTTGACCATAGCAATATTGGGGGATTATTCCTCATCCTCACCTTTTGTGGATCTGTTAAAGGAGTTTCAGGCCAAACTATTTGATGAACTTCACATGCGACAAAAATAGTGAATCTGGTCAACAGTGCTTGAGAAAGTTGAAATCAGATGGGAACCAATATAGAGGTGGATTACTGGGATGATCAGGAGAATGAAACTGTCTTGCAGGAGAAAAATAAAAGACTTCAGTTTGTCTGTAAAATGAATGCAAAGAGGAGCTATGATTGCTCTCTAAATATGGAGGAGTAACCCAGAGAGAAAAACGAATTATTTTAGTTTAAGGATCATATTGGCAAAAGAGCAAACAAAAACAGCCAGTGAATAAGCTTATTCTGGAAAAAATGTCAGTTTTAACAGTCTCCCAGTAGAATTTTTCTCCTCTCTGCTTGTACTTCGAAGATAGAGCTTCATATATTTATGAAAGACATTATTTAAAATTGTCACCTTTGATAATACGAAACTGGAAATGATGACCCAAGACAGCCCTTTAAGTCCTACATATTACTAAAAAAGATTCCTGGCAGCAAAATACAAATCCTTTCTGCAATTTCTTACCTTTGCACCACTCGCTTCTGAAAGCCATAATAGAAGGAGAGAAATGTGAATTATAATCCTGATTCTCTACAGTGCTTCTTATTTCCCTTAACACCTCTTATTTCCACAGAATACGTACTGTGGACTGTAACACTGTGCCAGACAGAACCTGAACCTTTCCATGCATTGTGCTAGTGAGACTAACTTCAGCATCTCACAGGTGGAGAAAAAACCTGCAGCACCTGGATTTACGTTAAATCCTTTGTGTCTGATTCAGTCCAAGCTTTGAGCTCTGGTAAAAGAGGATAAACATAATACAAAATCCAAACATTATTTATTTGTAGAGTTTCTGGCCTGGCAGACTGTAAATAGCTACAACATGGATTTTTCTAACAGTGAGACTGTCTCTTTCAGTTACTGTTGAAATATCCTCCTTTTTTTTTTCTAGTGGTTTGTGATTGCTGGTCTACCTTTCTCAGGTAGCAAACAGGAAGTTCTGCAGAGCTGCTCAGGCCTTTCCGTGCATTACTTTCTTTTGCTAATTTTAGGAAGGGACTTAACTTTTGCGTACCTTGTCACTAAGAAGTGGCCAGGATTTAGAAGCAGTTCAAAATAGGTGCTTTATTTTCAGCCAAGCAAAAAAAATTCTACATATAGGCCTGATGCTATTTCCATCCAGGACAGAGATGACACCAAAATAAGCAACACATCATTCTGGGATTACTCCATTCATTTCTCAGTGTTCACCCCGTGTCTAATCCCAATGACTTTACTATTCACCCACCTTAGAATTGTGATTATAAATTGACTAGTTTATGTTTTTGAAGAGGTAATACAATTCTTGTTGTATAAAAGTCCCATTAACTCCTGTGAGACTATTTATGAGAGGAAGGGTTGCAGTATCTGTGCCTGTTTTTTTTAAATTATCGTCTAATGATATGCATTTTTAATTAAAAAAAAGTTCCAAACTGTACAACAGATGCATATTTTAAAATTTCTATCTCATGATACAGACAGCCATGACTGTTTCTTTAAGATTTTAAGTGCTGATAGATATTTTTAAGTCAATCTTAGCAGACACAGAAGGATGCTAAAAGCCATGAGTATTCTTGTCTAGCACACAGAGTAACGGATGCAATTCCAATTTCTGCTTGCGTTTTATGGGGTACTGATCACAATTCACAAAACCACAAAGAAGCTATGAGGGATTTTCACTATTGGGTAACTGCTGCTCAGTGATTGCTTAGGTACGTAAGCTGATATTATTTCAGATACACAGCAGGTAATAATGTGGTTGTTGTTATCACTGTCCCAGTAGAAAAATCACACATATGCTAACCAAGCTTAAGCACAGTCACCTCTTCCCAAAAAAAAAAGTAGCTGGTCGTATATTCATATACTTGCTCTGCTTGGAACTTAATTTCTGAAAAAAACCTCTAATATTTTAGTGAAATTTCATAAAAAGAAAAAGTGATCTTATAAAAATAAATGCATCTTCTGTTTGTGCAAATGTATTAGCTATTCATAATAAAGAGAATCAAGCAAACAAAAAAATATGAATATGTGCTGGAGATAAGCTGGAAATTGCACATAGAATTATTTCTAAACTTTTTGGAAACCTGGATCCAGCTGACACTGCTGATGTCTGCAGCTTCAGTTCACTAATAACCCAGACTGGGCTTGCAGAGTAGCTCACGCTCTTATCTGCTCAGCTAATTTCTGTGTATTTTAGAAACTTTATCAGTGACGTCTCTGGCTTAACATTTCTGTAACTCTGCTGGCTGTGCCCTGGATTTTTGTTCTGAGTCCTCTGACTTTGACAAGCCATAGGAGAACTAGAATTGTAGAAAACAGACTATGCACCTATTGATTGAAGGTTTCCTCCTTTGCCAATATTGCTTGCTAAGGACCACTGATTTATTAAATATTTAAATCTCCTGAACTTTTAGGCTTACTACTTTCCTTATAACTGATACTCTTCTTTAGCTATCTTTAGGTGTTTGAGTTATCTCCCTTTATGAAAAGCCATTGCCTGTTTAGGGAAATAAGGCATGTGATTTTTTGTTCCTCTGACCCACACCTCAGCTAGATACTAATCTCAATAGACAGTATAAAATGACTCTTCATGTTCAAACTATTGGTGTATTAACCTAAGAAATCATTTTCACTTATATATGTCCCTAAATGGGTTTCCTTGTACTCACCTGAGGGCAATGTGAGAAAAGGCCACACTCTCCAACAGCTGTTTTGGTGTGCTGCTGTTTCCCCTGGATCACGTTCAATATATTATTGCCATTAGGCATTTGGCCTCTGCTAAATCCATCTCATACCTGCGTTTGCTTGAATAGTGTTGTTTTCTATAGTGTAACCTCAGCAGAAAAATGTTAGTGTTCTGCTGGTCCAAGCAATTCAAGCAAACAGAGGCTTGACTGCATTTCTTATGTTGGGAGAAGCCAAGATGATCTGAGCACTGCCGGCATCCCAGTAACATGGAAACGCCTGTCACACGGGATGCAAATACATTTTAATCACAGCACTATGTAAATGCCTACCTTCCAATAGCACTGCACAGCATGGGCAACTCTCAAAAACACTTTTTCCGTATAAATAACTCTGTGTGTCTTCAGTATGCCACAGATTTGTTTTGCATAAGAAAATGAGCCGTTATTTTCCACCCAAGCAAAGTATGCCCTTCAGGTGAAATGTTTTGATTTCAAGAACAATTTGTCAAAATGTTTTACAGCATTCTGGGCTCCTCATATACAGGATTTCCAAGTACTATACAAGCACTAAACCTACATTAGAAGAGAATTGGAAACAATTCTCAAGGAAATGTGCAACCTTGAAGAGTCTCATTTAGCGCTAACCAGTAGAGTGTTTGGCACAGCTGGTGTCCTGGATGAATACAGTTATTTACACAGCATCACAAAAACTTACGATTTGCACAAGAAGCTTACATAAGACCATATTTTGATCTTGTCCTTGGAGACAGGTATAAATTGCACTGGCATAAGAATATAAAAAAGGTAGGCATTATGCCTTGGAAAGCTCTTGAACCATAATTCCCCATATCAGTTGTCTCTTGAGTAGTGCCTTGTGGGTGGTCCGTCCCGAGCCAAGCAGTGCTAGGTACTGAATCAAAGGGAAAACCGATGTACCCATGTTCTTGGTTGTCTCTTTGTAAAAGGAAGTGTACTTCTGACTTCCCCAGTGTGCCAGTAATGTGGGCAAAGTATGTGTATGATGTAGGAGAGGTCCTACTGAGCCCCCCACGGGGGGACAGTCCGCAGGAAGATTTAATCCTGAGAAGCCTTCTCATCCTTAAGGAAAAACTGAAGCAGTGTTAAATGCAGAAATTTTAAACAAATCCGGAAAGTTGTGAAGAAATGAGAGTTTCTAAAGTACAAGTAAATTGCATGGTGAAGAAACATTTCAGGGCTGTCCTAATGTTAGGCTTCAGCTTAATCTTCTGCCCTGTTTGAAAACTCTAAATTGTCTTCTATAGGATTATATTTCATGCTAGTTAATTTTAGTTATGTTTCACAGAGAGGGCGAAGATAGAGGCTAGATTGTAAATCTTGGTATCTAGATAAACTCTTGCAAAGAGACTTACGAGGAGGTTACGCAAATAGATGCCGTTTAGGAACAGAGAGAGAAAAGCTTTGGTATAAAAACAGAGAGAGCTTTTATGAGACCAGCCCTAAATGATCAGAGTACAAAAAAAAGGAAGATGACAACAAGATATTAACAAGAAAAAAGCAGGAATGGAAGCAAGCTGGGTGGTGATTAGAGGAAATATATTTTTATCTTTGGCACAGAGCATGGCAGGAGCTGAAAGGGCATTTGATTGAGGCATTTGACTAAAATGCAAAAAACAGAGCGGGATGTGGGACAGGCATCTGAGCGAGGCATCAGTTTATGAGCATATGAATCACTGAAGAGAGTAAGATGATTTCATGCAATTTTTTTTCAGTTGAGGCCTTTTGACAGTGCGTGGAAAGGAGAGGGAACAGCATTCAAAGCAGTAGTTAATTAAGGCAGGAAGAGCAGCTGGGGACAAGGAGGAGAGAAAAATGATCTGCCTTTTGTGAGTCACTTATAAGCTGTAGCATGTAAAAGCATGTAAGTGCCTTTTTACCCATTGTCTGCTATATTAGAAGATGGAAATCTATCTTTTTCTTTGAGATTCTTTATCTTCCACTTCATTCCTGTTGTTTCTTGTCAGTTAAAACATTAATCAAGTTGTCTTTTGCACAATAACAAATCCCAGAAGCCGAAGAAGATATGTGTCTATTTGTATTTCCATCTCCCTCAAGTTAAACAAGAACAGCAGATAATAATTCAGCATATTTAAAGTCTCCACTTAGACCTAAGTGTTGAAACAGGAGACAAACCTTAGTGCTATACAAGTCAGCAGATTATTTCCCTCGTACTTTGGTTCTGGAGACTTTGTGTATGTAAGGAGTAAAGTAAGGTGTTTATGTAGGGTAAATTATTGTGTTGGTAAGAGGAATATTTTGAGAGCTCTTACTGAATGCTGAATGGCACATAAAAATCTAAAAAGCTACTACATAAAGTAATTCCTCAATAAAAATACTTGCCTGATAGGTGCTATATATGTATTATTTGCAGTAGGTCAGGTAAACGAGAGGATAGACATAACTATGGCAT